TGTGAGCATGGGCATTCTGGCCCAGAAAGCAGCAAGCACAAGGGGAGGGGCAGAGCATGGTACCTTCTGAGACCTGGAAATTGCTCCACATGGCTGAAGAGGGAGGTGCGGAAATGGGCAGGCGACGATGGGGGTGGTAGAGGCGCCCGCAGAGGCAGGAAAGATGCGAGGACAGACCTGAAGGACCCGTGGAGTAGGATGTGCGAGGAGTCTCAATACCGTGAAGGGACTTATTTAGATTTTGTCTTGGGGAGGGTCAGCTGGGTTAGACAACAGGGATGCTGATTCATCATGGCTTGGAATAACCCTCTTGAAGGAATTTTCTTCCACTTGACCCACTTTGACTTTTTGGTCTTCCTAGCTAGGCTTGTACATTCAAAAATCTTTATCCCAGCGAAGAAAAGAGGAGGGGCATGAACCTCAGGAAGGCCACTGACATTTACTGCACACGCAGCACATCCCCTACCTGCCCTGGATATTTTACTTCTGAGATCTAACTTGTACAGGCGAGGAACGTAAGGCCTGAGCAGTATAGCAATCCGCTCTGACTCCCCGCGCTTCATGTACGCACTACACAATGCTAATCATCCCTGCCAACATTTATGGCATGCTAACCGCTGCGTATGAGAACCTCTCTGACAGAAATAGCATGTATTTCTGCCTACCTCCACACAGCTACTCACCGCAGTCTAACATTCGCTTGGAAGACTCGGGGTCAACATTACAATCCCTCCTCACTGCACTGGTTTTAAAAATGAACAGTCATGGTTTAACATCATCGACATTATCCCAGTGTTCCAATTACCCAGAAGTAGAAGTTCCAGTCTACCGGCTACTGAAAATTCTGGCGCTCAGTGCTCCTCGAGCAGGTATGGCCAGGAGTGGGAACTGACTGCACAAGTGGTTTCTTACAGCACCTACTCTACTCTCTGTCTGAATTAGGAGCCGAGTAGGGTTCAGACACGGTGGCTGATCAATTTATCATTAAAAAAACACACAAATAAAACCCACAAAAACGAACTCCCCTCCATCTCTCTTGCTTGCTTTTATTTTATTTTTCAAAATATATTTGTTGAAGAAAATTGGCCTGTTTGTCTTCTAGAGTTGCCCAAGTCTGAATTTTGTCTACTACATACATGCTCCCATCATCTGCATCTAGATGCTTGATCAGATTCTAATTATTATGGGGGGGGTTTGCAGATGGGGAGGCAGCAAGGCTAATTCAGAGCTGGGGTTGGGTTCTCCCGCCATGAGGGGCAAGCCTTTTTTGTCCTATTTGTAAGCTGCGGTGATCAGTGGGAGACTTGCTTGCTCATCCACTGTTGGAATGTGAGGCTATTTTCCAGAGCTTCCACACATGACGAGTTCACTCTGGGGTGTGGGCCCAGACTGCTATTAGATTTGTTTCTTTTATGCTAATAGTTTTTCTGCATCTCCCGCGTCAGTAATCACTTATTGATATTTTCAGTACATATTTACAATGAACAGCTCCTTTATCTTTTGGATTCGTTGCTTCTTATCTGCTCTATTAACTGAGACCAGACATCAAGTTCATTGAAATTATTTAAATACACTAACAGAGACTAGAGGGGTGCATGATTGGCTATGGGCTCAAGTTGTAGCACACAGACTTAGTGATGGATTTCCCAGTTCTTGCTCCTGCCATGATGATTCAAGGTTACTGCGCTATAGATTTTCTAGTCCTCACTACGATTTCACCTCCGGATCAACTAAAGAGTAAAATCTAGGAGAGTATGGAGTTTTTCTTTGTCTTGTTCCACTGTGTATCAAATATGGGAATGAAGGTGACAATGGTATAGGATCAGGCCATGTTTCATTCTGTTGTACAAAGGGATTCTTGAAAATCAGAAGTGAATCAAGAGCACTTTCAGGGTAAGTGCTGAATAAAAGTGGTGAAAATGGATAACGACAATACTCTTCTTATCTATCTTTACAGCGTGACTTAGAAATATCCCTGCGAACACAGAAGGCTGACAGTGAACTTATTTTCCTGCAACCATAGTTTGTCACCTGAATTGCCTGGCATTCCAAAAGTTCCCATTACACTGGTGTTAGCTACTAACGGACAGATCAGCAGTTTGAGTCCGGCCAGAGGTGCCTCGGAAGAAAGACTTGATGGATTACTTACAACGCCCACTCACTCACGCGCTGCAGTGCAGGCAACACCACTCACAGCAGCTCTACAGGACCGAGGAGAACTGACCCTTTAGGTTTCCGAGTCCTTAAATCTTCATGGGAGCAGAAAGCCTCACCTTTCTCCCATGGAGAGGTTGGAGGTTTTGAACTGTTGACCCAGTGGTTAGCAGTGTAATTTCTAACTCACTACACCACCGGGGCTCCATAATATGTGGATACACTGGCTACATAAAATAGATTACTAGGTTAAGTTTCATACAGGCTTAAAATTTATTTCATCTATTTCCTTTTACCTTAAAAACCTCTAGCTATTAGAATATCCTATTAATTTACAGTAAAGAATAATACTGGGAACCATCCACTTAGCTTGTGCATTTGGCTTATATGTACAAGGTCAGTGGTGAAAGCTTCTGAAGAGGCTCTGAGAGTTCAGTGCAACCACTCATTGGGTTCCCTGGACAATGCCTGCTTCTGGCACTCACATTCTCCCTAGAAGCAGACAGCTGGCCGCCTCACAAGCCAATACAGGTCTGTGTCGGGCAGTTTCTGTCTAGGGGGCTATGTTGCTTCAATAACAAATATTCACAGTTAACAAAGCTTAGCCTTCCAAATGGGGTGAGGTGGGGGTGGAGTGGGGGGTAGATGTAGCAAAACGTTCACATTGTGAAAGGACAGAGTCCTATGACAAGCATCTTAAACATGCTGGAATCTTCTCACACATCGTCTTGGCACGGGCCAACAGAGGATCACATATCCTTATCTTCTCTGACACCTTATAAAGGCTTCTGTAGACGCACATTCACAAGACAAGGTTACCAGGTGACATGGAAACCATTAAAAAGACAGAAAACACTTCTAATATTGTAGTAATTGGGGGCTTTTTAATAATATTGTTTCAAATGAGCCTTGCTCCTCATAATTGATCATGATCATTCTTCGCTGCTTTGGCCATACCAAAAGCAAAATATAATTAGTAGCGTGACTAATTAGTTGGAGAGTAACCAGATGGTACGGAGTACGGGACACCACCTAAGGAGGAGGTGCAAATGGAAACGGCGGGTGTCCAACCAACATGCCTGGGGAATGTCAGAGCCATCAGGTGACATCATCTGGTGAGCTGGCCAGTCAGGGACAGAGGATAAAGACCGGAGCCCACTGTCGCAGGCGTCCCCCCGCCAGCTGGGGCAGCAGAGGCGCTGGCGTCCATACCTGTAACACACACCGTCTGTGCAGGGGCTGTGGACCCTGACGATGACGAACACGTGCTGAAAGTGAGAGCGGATGTTTTTCGGGCTGAATGGCTGCGCTCCAGGTTCCTGGAAAACTATTGTGACGATATCATTCCCAATGTGCCGCTTGCGGAGGAGCTGAAAGGAAAACCACACCAACACCGTCAAGGAGAGTACTGTGCTTCCCCGGCCGTTCTCTCTCACCTGCACACAAGGTCTTCCTCACCGTGCCCTGCGCCTCTGCCTAGGCTACCTGAGGAGTTGCTATCAAGATTTTGGCCTCTCTTCTCAAACCCTTCAGGGAAGAAGGTGAAAAGGACTATTTTGCAAGTTACAGAAAAGACAGAGCCCGTTCGAACGGGTCTAACCAGCGAATGGCCCTAAGCCCCTGCACATCTCCAATCCTCGGGTTCCAGAGGGTTCTGTTCCCATAATGCCAGTTTTGTTTCCTGGACAAAGCCTGCCATGGAGAAGATTTTTAGAGATGAAAACTGTTGAAGTCATTACAATGTAATTTATGTTCTGGCTTAATTGCCGTCATTAAAGGAAACACGGGGAGGCATTTTCTGACACATACAGTTCTCGTGGCATACGCTGGTGCACAGAGGTCTCTAATACCCCAGAGTTCCAACAAATCTTAGCACAGGTGACTGTCAACTGTAGGCTGTTTCTTTAACGACACTGGAGGCTGATTAAGAATCAGAAGACCACCTCTGGTTTCACATTAAATCGTGTTCTGACTGGGGGTCTGGGGTGGGGTCTTGAAATTCTGACACCCCGAATTGTCCTAAAATAGTGCCTTCCAAGATGAACGTATTAGATAGTTTAGTTTAAAGATGTACAGAAAACGTGAACAGAACTTGCACGGCTCAGATTTACTATATGGACACTTTCAAAAGGAGGAAAACAATGCATCATATTTATACATACTAACCACTTTAAGAATGCATAATAAAGTATTTTCTGTTTTAAATGGCTGGGGACATTAAAGCATACAAATTGTACACCATTAAAAGCAACGATCAGGTATTTGGCTAACCAACCGGGACAAACATCGTCTTTTAAAAAAGATTAGGGTTGACATTTGGGAGTTAGGAGTGCTTGGGAGATGTCCTTCAAACTTACAGATTTTAAACCTGTTTTCTAACGAGGAGGTTTTATTTTATTTTTAATATGCAGTAAAATCCTGAAATAAAGACTGGCGTGTATTGAACACTATATAAAATACAGTGTCTATCAGAGATGATTAATCTAATCAGAATCTTGAACAAATACTCAGCATGTCCATTATTCTGATGAAAATGATGGCAGTCTTTTCCTACAGTATTATCTTAAAAAACAAAACAAAACAAAAACGACTTTAGGTGAAATATTAGTATCTTAAATGAAATAACTTAAACGTGAACTCACTCTACTCAACATTTATGCCTCGAAAAGCAGTGTCATCAAGTTGACACTGGCTCAGTGACTGCAGGCGAGGGCAGCACCCGCGGCTGTGAGTTTCCCAATACGGAAGTAGAAGGCTCCGCCCTGTCTTTCTCCTGCTGGGCAGTGGTGCTTTTGAACTACGGATTTTGCAGATCACAGACCAACTCATAATGACTAGGCCACCAGGGCCTCCACACTTAGACCTACTTATTTAAAAATAAGCTCTCATTACTAATTTGTTTCTTCCACAAATCTCCTCTCTCGTCAGTCATCTTGTAGAAATATGTCTTTACCTACCCTTAATAGGTGATACATTAATATTCTTAAACATTTCCTTTCTACAAACTGGCTGGAATAAGAAATCTACCATATTTTCCTTAGCTTTTATCCCTCTCCTAAATAAATCGAGAACTTTGAATTTGTCTTTTAAAAAACATCTTCAACAAAATCCAGATCAGAAAATTAATCTTAAAATCAGTTTATTTCAGATTTATATCTAATTCACGTCACTGCTTTGCTTCCTTATTTCTGATTATTCCAGTAAACATAATGAAAGGCAAGATTTTGTTACCTAGACTTTCAATCTAATCAAACCCAAAGTGATGAAGTGCTAGATTAGATCAGTGTTTGGTTAAACTGTGAGGGAGGATGTGAGTCAATCTGCAGCTGGTCGCTGGTCAACAACAACTGACAATAACAAAATCTACGTCTATTTTCAGGTCACAAGTACAACAGAATTGGCTCATGTTCACAATAGCTATTTGATAGGAGACTTGGTCAGCGCTCCGATGCTTATACATTTCGGTTCTGGATCACCTATTACACTGATAGTTTTTGAAAAGACACTCCATAGACTCTCTAAAAGAGTGCCGTTCCACATTGCTCTGCAGCAATGAGTCATTTCTTCGTTCCTGCCGCTTATTGCCTAACCACTCACTGAATCACGCACCTGAGCCAGTGCCAAATAGCTCAAACCAGTTGCCAAGGAGTCACTGACAACTCACAGTGACCCCACGTGTTTCAGTGCGGAAGTGCAGGCCGTGGGTCTTCCCACCTGGGACTTGTGGAAGCCCTTCCCCAGGCTTCCCTTGAGAGGCTCTTCTGGGTGGGTTCAGATTACTAACACTGTTAGTGGTCCCTTGTCGGGACCACCCAAGGACTCAGTGAACTTCACATGAGCATTGTGCTTTAGATCTTTCTAAAAGAAGTCCTCTCTCTCTCTCTCCCTCTCTCTCTCTCTCTCTCTCTCTCTCTCTCTCTCTCTCTC